TATCACTGCAGCAGCATCACTCACTCACCGTGGATATCACTACCCTCCTCTGCAGATAATTCCTCTCCATTGGCACTGAGCACCCCTCCCCCCCTTCCCTTCACAAATCCCTCGATTTCCCAGTTTGAGAATCATCGTGTATATGAATTATATGACCAGTTGCCATTTTAATGGGTAGTTTTTAATGGAAATTGCTCTTGAAGTGTACCGCTAAATCAAAACGCCATTTTCTGAAAATGTAATTTTACTCGCTTGCAAGAATATCGAATACAGAAGTTTGCGTCTGTGCCTAAAAATCACTCTATCTTTCTCTTTGTATACATAAGTATATACCACATACACATATATATCCTACATACATACATTCTCACATACACACACACACACACACATATATATATATATATATATATATATATATATATATATATATATATATATATATATATATATATATATACATACATATATCCGCATATATATGAGTATTTCTGTGTGTTTATGTGGCATGTAAGTTATTCATATACAAAATAGAACATATTTCTACTAAATTTCTGTTGCCAATTTGTCAATATCAACTGTAATGCAAATGATGATAATGTTACTTTGATATCGCTGCCACCGTCTGGGGATTTTTGGATCTTAAAAAACCATATGTGAAGTAATTTTCGTGCACTGTTTTTTCTTTGTATATTGTTCAATAATTATACTTAGCCTATTCATGCAAAAAAAAAAAAAAAAAAAAAAAAAAAAAATCCGTAGAGACCCTCTGGTATCTCCCAAAATCCCATAAGAACGCCCTTAGAAACGAAGATGCAAAACTCGGCGATCCTCGGCTATCTCCGGTTGTGACGTCATTCCCAGGACCAGGAAGAATCTTGTTGAATAGCGTGATACACACAATGCACCCGCGAGTCAGGGATATCACGGAACTGTCCCAGTTTCAAGCTATTAAAGTTTGTAACAAAGGATGCCGCGACGTTGTGTAGCTATTCATTGTTCCCATTCATGTCACCAGCTATTTGAATGGCCAAAAGACCGCGACAGAGCAAGGAAGTGGACACGTTTTGTGCATGCTAAGCGGAGGAACTTTCAGCCTGTGCCAACCAGCGTACTTTGCCTGAAACACTTCGAGCTCGATTGCTTTGTGAACAGAATGGCTTACGACATGGGATTTGCAAAACGGTAGGCCATTTCCAATTTATATTTGTCGCGATCACTACAGCGCAAAACAAACTCTAAAAGAGTGCTTTTGCTTGGCGGCGTAGCAAACATTCATTGGGTGGTTACGACACAGTGTGCCGAGTGCATTACAAGTGTGCATGTATTACTAGACAGAGGTAGGGTAGGTACACCCCAAAAAGCACAACACAAATAAATACCGATGCCCCTCCACTCGCGAATGGATGTAGGCCTGCGCCAAGGGTGCAGACAAGATAGCTCAGCCTGCAGAAATTTTGTACCATACAGAAATGGGATCATACGTTCGACATAAAAAAAATAATTTAGAAAATTACCATTCATTGAATCTCTTCAGGTCTCGATGCCACTTCATGTCTGGCTGGTTTGACACAACTTCTATGACATCTACAGCGTCGGGCTCGTGCATGTACGGTCTAACAACCATCAACCCTTGATATTCCTCTTCTTCTTCCAACTCTTCGAAGACATAGGCACCCTCTGAAGAAGTTGTACCAATGTCCTCGTCGGAATAATCCGATGAAACTTATTTCACTGCCGCTGTAGTCTTGTAGTGAGTCAGCCATGTTGTATAATATATTGAATGCAGAGAATGCTGTGATCGTGTTCTAGAATTGACGTCACATATCCGGGTTCCGGATTTTCGCGGGAAAATATAACTTGGAGAATTATTTTCAGATTTCCTTTTTTTACTCATATTAGAGAGATGGTTTGCGAGCTAATTCTCCCTTTTTAAAGTTTTCAGTTGTTACTTCACATAAGCCCTTTAGGGAAATCCCAAGAAAAAACATTTGACTTAATTTGAGTGTGTGCACCAAAGCTAGTGGTCACAGAAACATTTTTAACTAAAAACTTATCATTCTATAAAAAATGATACATATGCGACATACAACAGTGTAAATTTCGGCAATAAACATTTTAAAGAAAAAAGTAATATTACCTTTTACTAAATTAGACAAATTCTAAGGTTAGCTCTACTATACTCTCTCTCTTGGCCTACTAATTATGAATCAATAATCATTACAGTGAACATAATAAAAACAAACATGAGGGATAGACACACACACACACACACACACACACACACACACACACACACACACACACACACACACACACACACACACACACACACACACACACACACCCTTCTCCCGGTATCTTTCCGTTATTTGGACATCAAGTAATCAATCATTCCCTTCTTTCTCGATTTTCCTTTCTTACACTTTACTTTGATATGTAATTCTATTCCCAATCTATTCCCTGGTACAATCGGAAATGTCTCCTTCGACTAATTCCATTTGTAGTATCCACGGCCAAAAAATGAATAAATAAATTAATATTTTCTAACAAGACTAGCAAATTCCGTTATTTTCCCTAACCTTAATTCTGTGTTCGGGGCGAAACAACGACTTCGTCTTAGTTATCACACTTCAGAACATATGGATATACAATTATACATACTATATCCATACGTATGTGTGATTATACCCATACGTATATAACCACACACACACTGTTAGATCCAGTATGTTGGTTCAATCCTGATTCAAGGGTATCAGAATAACTTCTTCTGTGTAGGTCCACATTTCTTTTCGATTCAGCCTACTCACAAGTAGCATTCGAGCTGAAAACTATAAGCCCGTATAAGAAACCAATAACAGTCGCACATTGTAGATGAACATTAAATTGAATATAAGGTTACCGGTATTTATGCAAAACAAAATACAGATGCAAATAAATGAATTTCAGTAATCTGTATAAAAAGAGCATAAAATCAGAATATGACAAATGTTATCCTATAACTGAAAGAAGTTCTAGAATCTTCACAATTTAAAGCAAGAGCATCATAAAATAAAAGGGGTTGGCTGTGTGGGGCAACTTCCATTGAACCTGTCATAAAACACTACCATTGGGGACCGCGCGGCGAACAAAAAAGGATAATAATCTTAAATATACACACTAACAACACTTACTTTGTATCCCAATAAGGACTGCAAACCAACAACCTGTTCTTAAACTGCACTCCACGGTCGTTGTCACTCAAAAAGATGGAAAAAAAGGCATTTGGCCCACCCAGTACAGACAGCAGTTGCCTTGATTTATCCTTTTATGGGGGGGGGGAGGCAAGAGTTGACGCAGCGATATCGCACGCAAAGGAGTATGGGTAGTGGCGCGTTATTTGAATGACTTTCCGTGGATATTTTTCAACTAAATCAGATTTTCTTTCTTTTTTAAGAAAACAAATAGTTAAATTGCGCAGTATTCTCACCGCCCCCTATTAAATGACCTACTTGATACTACAAAAAATACTGCAAAATCATTTTTACCCAACATTTACGATAAGGGCAGTGTTCGACGTTCACCCTAGTTTTCTTCATTGATCTCATTTTCTAAGAGAAGGTGCATCTTACTAATAGGCCAGATATATTATCCACTGACAGTTTTCAGTTTAGCACTGCACACATGTTCCTCACTATCACACATGACCTCTATCACTCGAGCAAGAGGCCATGTACCTCTAGGCAGTCTCTCATCCAAGGCTAAAGCTGTCTCCTTTCTTGACATCACACCGTTTAATGTTCCACTTTAGGTGCTCTTGGAGGAGAGGTAGATACTCTTTAGACCGCCTCTTTCAAAAGAGGTCAGCCAAGTATTGCACCTGCTTCCAGTGCCGACGAGCATACAGATCCTTAAATGTTATCAGTATTCATGACTGGACCACATGAACCCTTCAAGTTAAGTAGCAGGCTCGGAGTTAGTGGTTGCAGCAATCAGGGTCGTCCTTAACTCTGGTCAAGGGTCTGCTGTTAATGATGGCTTCAACTTCGAAGAACAGTCTGAAGACTATCATCAGTTAGTGTTTGTTGACGGCAAATGCCACTCAAAACTCGCCTGATAGAGTGAATCTGACGCTCCCAGATTCCCGAAATGCGAAGCATGTGGTGGATTGAAGCAGCATGAGATGCCTTTAGTTGACATGGTGTCACAGATGGTAGTTTGATCAAGAAGCTGGAGCTCCTGGCGAAGAACTTTCTCTGCACCCACCAGGTTTGTGCCATTGTCGGATCTGATGGACGTCACTGGACCTCGTCTTGCTGTGAATCGTCGAGAGCGTTGATAAATGAGTCCGTTTCCATTGAGTCCATGACTTCAATATGGATTGCACGTGATGTTAGGCTTGTAAAGACTTATCATATCTCTTGAGGTCTGACCTGCCTTTCCTGACGAGATAGGGTCCAAAACCGCCGGTGCCCTTATGTGTAAATGGTGGCTGGCCTGGTATAATACGATCTTCAGGAAGGTCAGCCATCTGTTGAGTCATTGGTCATGCACTGATGGCTCTGCAACTCATGCAACTCTTTACCACAGAACGCACAACAGTATTTACATATACAACCCAAAATGTTTGTCTGAACTCAGAGAGAAGATAGTTCTGACCACAGTGAGCTAACTTCTCGTGATGCCCGCTCACCACCAGATTCACCAAAGATGAATTATTGGTTAGGATAATTGGATGAGTGGCATTAGGGTCACACCCAGAGTGTCTTAGGCGCCCACCTATCCTAAACAGGATATCTTGTAGAAAAGGTCTTAATCTCACTATCTTGCTTGAGGCTTGTACTCTCCCATCTGGCTTACGTGACAGAGAGGCAACTTCAGATGTGTAGTTCTCTTGTTGAACTAATTTCTGCATCAGTTATTTCTTTGCTGCTAAGGCAGTTAACGTCAGGCAACTTTGGTACATACTTTTGCTTCAAGAATCGTCTGACCCATGCATGACAACACACAAACTTCTGTCAGTTCAAGAAGCGATAGGCAAAGTCCTCAATGAGTGATGTTACTGTTGTCACTGTTTTGCATACAATGGCAGACACCTTTACTTCTGTGTCATCTTCCAGTGATCCATATTTAACATCTGGAACTTGCGGCCAGCTGGATTCAGGTTTATGAAAAAACCTTGGTCCTCTAATCAACATTTCAGACTTCAAAAAAGTATCAACATCAAGACCTCTAGATGCAAAGTCAGCAGGATTACTGTTTGTGTCTACATATCTCCAAGCACTTGTTGAAGACAGTTCTCGGATTAGGTTCACTCAATTTGCGGCAAAGGTGTGGTAACGAGCCTTCTGATTAAACAGGTACTTGAGCACTGAAGTGCTGTCTGTTCCAGCTTCAACCCCAGTTCCTTTCGTAATTTACAGTCCATTCGAGCTGCAACGGAGGCAGCCGTCAGTTCTAGCCTTGGAATAGTTGTCGGCTTCAGAGGTGCAACTCTTGCTCGTGCCATAACTAAAAAAGTGCAGTACACCTTTTCCGAGGCATTTACCATCTTTAAGTAGGAGGCTGTGCCATAACCAGAATGGGCACTTGGCTTCGTGGCAGCTTAAATCTTGACAGCTTTGGTAACTGTTCTAACCATTTTCTCCAACGAGTAGCTTCCCTATCATCCATATATTCATCCCAGCCTAACTGCATCTGACACATGTCTCGAAGAATCATTTTTGCTGGTAGTGTCAAGGGCGCCACCATGCCAAGTGGGTAATATATAGATGCCACGATAGATAGAACTCCTCTCCGTGTTAGTGACTTGTCACCAGGGCAGATTTTGAATATAAAGCAATCTTCGGCCATCGACTAGTGTACACCCAAGGTCCTTTCAACTCGGAGATCATCCTTACTGAGGTCTAGAGAAGCAACTGACGTATCCCTCTCCGATTCGGGAATCTTCCTAAGCACGTCCTTGTTATTGTGTCTGGTGGTTCAGACGCCAACCACCTGCAATTACAGAGAGCAATGAGATCTTTGATGATTTTTATCAATCCCTCTTTGTCATCATGGGCCAGCAGATTATCAACATAAAAGCTTGGTATGCTTGTTCATCAAAAACATCACCGTGGTCCTCAGCAGTATTCCTTAAGGCATAATTTACACAGATAGGAGAGGACCTAGCACCAATAACATGAACATTCATTCGGTAATCACATAAAGGCTTATTGATCTGGCCACCATGAGAAACGAAAACACATCACGATCCTCTAGGGGAACCTTGACCTGACAAAGCATCTCGATGTCCGACGTGATTGCATAGTGGCCATGCCTGAACAACATGAGTACCCCTATTAGAGGATTTGTGAGGTCTGGCCCTTGAAGATGGTCATTAAGGGAAGTGCCATTGAATTTAGCTTCAAGGTCATAGGCGACACGTACCTTCAGCTTAGTGGGATAACGTACAGCATGATGAGGCATGTACCATATTCTTCCATCATTTCATCCTAATCCCGATGAAGGTACTATTTCAGCATACTGTTTACTTATATTCTTTTCCATTTGAGTGATGTATGTCTCCCTGAAAGTCTTGTCAGATTCCAACTTCCTTTTAAGGCCTTTCATTCTACGAACAGCCATTTCACGATTGTTTGAAAGTGGGCTACTATCCCTAAAGGGAAATTTGACTACATATTTACCCGATTCTTGATGATGGACTTGAGACCTTATCGGAGAATAACTTATCTTCCAGGAAATTTTCACGTTAGGAATGAACTTCCTTTTTCCCAAAAGTCAGCATTGAAGTGCTCTCGTAAGCACTCGCCAAGATCTTGTGTTGGGTAAATATGATATACCGGGGCTGGCAAAGGACTCCTGTGGCCGCTTGGTCCAAAGACAACTCAGCCAAATCTGGTAAAAAGGCTGAAGGTTCGTCATCAGTCCCGTGTCTCTGGTCGAGTATGTGACGGTTCAAAATGCTGTTGAGTCCAGTTATAAGTTCCACCTCTTGATTGTCGCCAGACAACCTTTGCAGATCCACATCATTAGATGAAACCATTTTTTAGTCCAGTTCACAGGAATCATGCTGTCAGTAGTTATGCTGAGTTTGTCTGTAATGTACACTTCATTTACGGTAATGTTATCTCCACCGCCGTTGCTGCTCAACGTAAGTGGCACACGCTCGTTGCACATGAATATTCCATTTTCAGTTTTCATTGCTTACCTCACTAGTAGGCTTTGGATTCCCAAACGTTGTATTAAGTATCGAGCAGCCAGAACTGGTGCAGCAGCACCGCCACACACACACACACACGAATGTGTGCGTATATATATATATATATATATATATATATATATATATATATATATATATATATATATATACACACACACACACACACGTGTGTGTGTGTGAAGATATGCGTATGCATATAGTATTGTTTTTTTTTTCTTATATATATATATATAATATATATATATATATATATATATATATATATATATACATACATTACAACACACACACACACCACACACACACACACACACACACACACACACACACACACCACACACACACACACACACACACACACACACACATATATATATATATATATATATATATATATATATATATATATATATATATATATATATATATATATTCCCATACTACCGATTAATTTCTGTATCATATGTATGGATGTGTGGGTGTATTCACACACTTGTGTGTGTGCGTATGTGGAGTGGAATCCCACCGGTCCGAAAAGAGGGCAAGGGAGTGGATTCATCCATTAATTAGTGAGGAGTGGCACTGAACAGAAAGAGAGCATGAAGAATGAAAGAGAGAATGAGAGAATTGATGAGAGAGGGAGGGAAAGAAGAATGCGAGAGAATGATGGATGAATTTATGTAAGAGTGGACAAGTCTGAGAGCGGAGTCCTACGGTTAAAGCTAGAAAATTTAAATGATCCATCAGTGGACAGGGAAGCTGATGGAGCTTACGGTTCTTACATACAGGTAGAAAGGGAAAAAGAAAGCGAATGGAAAATGAGGGAAGTGAAAGAAAAGATACAGAAAGATACCGAAGAATGAATGAGACAGAGAGGAAGAGAAATGATAATGACAGAAAGAGAGAGAGATATAGGTAGATAGAGAGAAAGAACGAGAAAGAATGACTGAATAAAAAAGAGATAGAATATATTATAGATTCTTTCAGTGAGGAGCTAGAGACGAGCCAACAGAAACGATTTAAAATTTTCTCGCCTTTCCAGAAATTCTTGAGTGATGACAACAGTTTTGTAACAGATGGCTTCAAAGCTACACAACTTATTAATTTCAGGTGCTATCATATGGTTAACAAAACAAATTTATTCAAAAACTTTATCTTGACTAGTGTCACTAAAACAACTATATTAAGAGCATGACGTTTACACATATGACCTCTTGGATTTCTACTCATGAAAAACTGGAGGTGCCGGGGATCGAACCCGGGGCCTCTCACATGCAAAGCGAGCGCTCTACCACTGAGCTACACCCCCTTATGAATGTTGTTAATGTACATAAATGATACATACATACATACATACATTACATACATTACATACATACATACATACATACATGACATACATACATACATAGACATGAACATTACATACAGTAACATGACATACATACGAGATACATACATAGCAATAGAGAGCAGACAATGAGAGATAACATACATTAAAGCATAGCCAGTAGCAATACGACTACTATACATACTATTACACACATGCATAATCAATAACGAATACATTATATACATATATACATAGATACAATAATAACTTACATACTAGCATACATGATATTAATATATTAATATATATTATATAATAATATATATATATATATAGTATATATATTATTGTGTAGTGTGTTGTGTGGTAGTGTGTGATGTGCTTGTAGTGTGTGTGGGATGTGTGTGTCGTGTATTGATAATATAGTAGATATAGAGATAGTATAGATGAGTATACTNGGTAAAATATGGCTCCCTCTACAGTTTTCATGGCATTTTTTTTGTTTTGTTTGTTTGATAGTTCTTAAACACGCCTGTACAGCCTATAACCATTTTCCATTGTATCCCTCTCCAAAATAACTTCTCTTTGCCTTGTTTCCCACATATTTGTCTGTTTCTTTCTTTTGCTAAGTGTTTCCATACTGGGTTTCCCCTCTACTTCATAGTCTGTGTCTTTCTATTGTCTCCCATTAAATCTCTTCTTCTCGCTTATCACACATCTGTCATTTATGTTCATACGATATTATGTATAGACAATTCTTACATGTGCAAATTAACTTGTTAGGAACAGTAACATACAATAGTGTAGTACAAAAGGAAAATGCATTGGAATCTGATTGTCTCTTCTTTTTCTCCCATCTAACAAATCTTCTCGTCTTTAATAAACTACTTCTAATTGTTTGCTTTTTAGTATAGAATCCTCCTATTCGAAATCGTCAGATAATGTGTGCCAACACGATTTGAAACATATTTTTAAATATTTCCAATTTAAATTAGCTAGAATATTTGGGAAGCTCCATTGACACCATACTAATCTGCTTTAATTCGGTAAAATGCAATACATAAATGTTCTTAGAAGACATAGATTAAACCATAGTTGCTTTTACTCATGGTGTATACTTTTATTACCTCTGTCTCAATGTGAAACATACGGTTCCCACTTAAAAGTAAATCTATTATAATTTGCAAATATCTCATGAAGAACTAAATCTGTATATTCTTGGGAGTATCAACTATTGGCTTCTTTATTATATACGCTTGAGTTCATCCTTGCGCAGCTACATAAATAAAACTTGTCACTTGAATCATGTATGCTTTTTTCTAGGTTTTTTTTTTTTATAGTTCTGACGTAAATATGCATTTTCAACTCTCATTGTACATAATTCAGTATGACAGAAAATCGAAAAGAAAGTATTCATAACAGTCCTGGTATACATCTTCTTGCTGATGTCTCTCTCTCTCAGTGCGATCGGATGCATGGAATGCTTTCTCGTTCCCCATTTCTCATACTCTTATGTTCTATCTTTCTCCTCTCTCTTCATATTTCTTCCTATTTCTTACTTATGTCAGACAATTTCGTAGGTCTGTCTCCATCAATCATATCTAGCATCCTTCACTTCTGCTTGAATTTCCACACGCAGATCAGTTCTCTCTTTTTCTTGTAATTACTTGATCTAATTCCAGTCTTGTTAGCTCAACAATGTTAATACTCTATCATACTACATGGATGCATTACTACCAGTATTTCGTTAATTCGCATAGCATTGTCAAAGGTGCACGCTGTGATCAATCTTCCCTGAAATTTCCCTCTAAGGACTTGCGTGGTAGAAGCTCTGGATTGCAGCAACACACTCTTATACGTACTTCTTGCTACTGCATTTCGATGATTACTGTAGCTTTTATTCGAGTGTCGCATTCTCATACATTGCGCATATCAATACACTTCATCAAAATACACAAATTGGACTCTGTGCTATGTAACTCTCCCACTTCTGCCGCGTCGTGTTACTCTTGCAAAGGCATATCCACATATCACAATTGCTCGGCTACTCTCCTCTCGCCTTGATTTGTCCAAAATAAAGGGAATGAAAATACAAAATAAACATACACATATATTCATTTACACATAAAAAAAATGCCGATTTTAAAGATCCATAGCCCAAGATGTAAAAACGATAACCATAGTAAAACTAATACAATGCAATGTCCTTGGTTATCAAAAGAAAATACATATAGTAATGATTATATACATATACTAACAAGAACTGGGTCATGTGTATAAAGAAATCAAGAAAAAAGACGAAATATAATATGGATACTTAAACACTTCTTATTATCTACATATTGAATAAGAATGTTAAAGGTTAATTACATATGGTTATAATTCTTATTATTCACTGGACATTTTCACAGTAAAACTTGCCTTTCTATTAAGCTAAGTACCAAAAGTAAAATACAAAATACTAGATACATAACTTTTATTTAACATATTTAATACTCTTTCTTTCACAAAAAACATTCTAGAACTGACAGAAGTCAGGTCTCATTATCAATTCCTTCTCAAAATAATGACATGTTTGAAGTGGAGAAAAAGAAAATTAGGATTGTCCTGCCATCTGTTTAATTTCTGAGATAAGGCGACGATTGTACTCTTTTGGTTCAAGGGGGCTGCAGGCTACTACTGTTGTCTTCAGTCTGCTCTCATCCTAGGGGAAAACCCAAAAGAATGGCATTATTATCATTACAATTATCATTATGAATACTACTATTATAATTATTATTATATATTATTATAAATATTATTTATATATATTATATATTATTATTAATGAATATATACTACTGTTAGTTTAAATATTGTTATCAAGAGAAAAAATAATACTACTAATAAAAAATAAATAAATGATAACTTTTTTTTCTTTTTTTTTTTTTTCTTTTTTTACCAAAATCCACAGACTATCTCTGTAGTGGTTCTGGGAATGAAAACCAAACTTAGCAAGAAACACTGAAAATCCACACAATATCTTTGTGGCAGTTATGGAAATCTAAACCAAACTAAACTCACATTGTAAGTCTCCATTTTGACACGAAGCTTGAAGGAAAAGTTCTTGAAAGCAGCGTCTGTGAAAATGTTCTGGAATTTATCTGGGCTATTCTCTCTCATGAAGCCTAATTCTGAGCTGGTTGTTCCAAGGAGCATCTCAGCCTGATCTTGGAAAACTGTCACCCACTGATTGTCCGATATATCTGCAAGGTTGGCCTGCAGGGAAGAGAAGAGAAAAATTGTATGAAGTGGAGTTCTGGTCTTTGAAAAGGTTATCCCCTACATAGAAGTAAAAATAAATAAATAAATAAAAAGAAAAACAAGAATAATTAAATAAGTATAAAGACAATTATTAAAATTTCCTTTATCAAAACTGAATATTTTCACATAACTACTAATAAAAAATAAATTGTATAAACATATATAATATATACACACACACACATATCAACACTATAAACACAAGAAAAAATATCCTCAAAACTCACAGACAACATTAGCCTCCAGTTGAAGCTGTCATATTCACGGTTGCACTTTTCGCATCTGTAAAGGCCGTTGTTCATATCGACCACCTTCTTGTTACAGCCATCTGAAGGGCATGCTGAATAGAGACAGTTCTCCTTGCGTATCAACACAACAGAAGCCTTCGTGGTGTAATAATCTGCTTGATCTCCACTGCCCAAGTTCTCGAGCTTAGCTTCACCAAAGGTCTTGAAGTTGGAGCCCATGCCTGTGAATGGAAGGATACACATCTCACTTCATTTGACAGAAACAAAACAATAAATAATGAAGGAACTAGGAAAATAAAAATATTCCTACTGCCATTCACATTCCTTATTTTAAAATATTACAATCTTTTTTAATCTGTTACATATTCCTTTACCCACAAAATTTTTCCAGACGCTATTTTCTTCTTATATT